TATGATGATGATATTAAACTGAATGAATTGATGTAGTCCAAATATCAATTCAGGCTTGGCCCAAAACCATAACAGGCCCAGTAAAAAAAATTGTTTTTTTTTTATTTTAATAATGAGCCCAAGCCCATTACTTAAGCCCATCCATTCATCATCATCTCCTTCACTAATCTGCTTCGTGAGAAACCAAGGGACCAGCAGTAGCGCAGACCAGCGACGCCGGAGGACGAATCAGCTAGCAGTCTCCAACGTCGCCATTAGGGAAGTAGATAGCAGCAACGATGCCGGAATCCCAGCACCACCGCCACCACCTGGCCTCCGCGCAACGCTAAAGCCGTCGCCGTCCGTCCGCCGTAGCTATGTCGCGAAAACAGTCCGGCCGAACGATTCCTCTGCGTCGTCGGCACTCCATCACCGGTGCTCCAATGTCGACGGCAACTGAAGGAGAATGACCGGAGCAGCCGGCGTTTTCCTCCGTCAACGATGAGCCGCCGGCGATTTGGAGTCCAAAAAGAGACACGGCGAAGCAGATTCCAAAAATTTATCCAATTAATTTAATTTAATTTTTTTTTTGTTTCTTGATGCGGAATAAACCAAATTTCCAGCAGCCCAGACAATATAATTGCATACGGAAAAAAAAAATATTCACATAATCTCAATTATATAACAAAGTATATAAAATATGTAAATATTTAAGCAATTAAAAAACACTTGGCAGAGATTATTTATGGCGACTGATACCAACTGTTAGACTAAAATATCACATGCATCATAATTATGTGATTACAGGATCGACTAACCTCCAGCCATAGCTCTTTACACGGTTGCACGATCCGGACTGCTGCAGAGATAACGAGTATTTTGTCTCTCACTTTACTCAGCTCTCTCTAGATGGTGTATGAGGTATGTAATGTGAGCAGTGAGAGGACTAGTGACCTTATATAACCACTGGCCATCATTGTGGTTGACTGTCTTTAGGTCTCCTAAACCCTAACCAGACTCCTAATCATAATGGTAGTCTAGTTATTAGGTTATTAGTGTTGCACCACATATCAAATACTGAATATTATCATAACTTATCCTAATGTTATAATAATAGTAACGGATAAACGTTACATTTACCATATTAATCTGTATATTTTAATTTTATATATACCACTCTTTGAGTATTTGTTTATTTTCTTCTGGAAATTTGTGTTTTAAATTGTTTTTCCTACAATTTTGAGTGAATGTGTATTAGAATTATGTTTGTGATTGTATGAACAGAAGCATAAATAATGAATGTGAAAGTTTGTGCAACTATGGAATTGTGGGTATAATTTCTCCCTTAGACTTGTGTAGTTGAACATCAACATCAATGGAATTAAGTAATTTGATATTGCAGATTTGCAGATAAATCAAGTTATTTCATGCATCTCCTTTAAACTAATTGACATTATATGAATGAGCAAAATCCTAGTATTGGACTATTTTGCCCTCATCAAAATTTGTTAATTACACATGTATATATAGCTAAACCCTAGTATTCATTCCGGATTCTTCTCTCTTTTTCCCCTCCAGCCACATTTCACCCGTTTCTTCTTCAATCTTCATCTTCTCGCCATTTTCTTTCTCCTTTCTTCTTATTTTTTGTCGCCACTTTTCTTTCTTCTTTCTTTCTTACCTCTGCGCGTCAGTCTCCTCTATCAATAGCACAACTCAAGCACGGCAACACCTTCATTTGCATTGCAGGTAAGCTTATTTTTCTAGCATCTTAATACTATACTTTGTTGTGTTGTATTTAATTTTTTTTTTTTCAATTTGTGATTAGTATCTGCAAATGTTGGTGGTTTAGCACAGTTTTGTTTTCCTTTTTTTGAATATTTGCATTGCAATTTTCCTGTCAATTTTTTTTTAGGTTATTGTATTTTTTTTTATTTATAATTTATGCTTATTTTTTGGAATCCTAATGGGAGTGAATTTCTTTGGTCAGTAATCTCTGGACTCCGGTTTCTTTTCGCGACCAGTAAAGAGTCTGGAGTGAATAATTTCACTGCCAGTTTTTTTTTTTTTTTTTGGATAATTCTATTTTTTAAAAAAATAATTTATGCTTTATTTCTTGGAATTTATTTGCACTGCAATCCTAGTGAGAGTGAATTTCTTTGGTCTCTTTTGCTGATATGGTCCAGTGATAGTCTGAAAAACAAAAAAGTCACTCCATATAAGCTGAATGTTATCCCCTTGCCTGTTCTGTTATTTCATACTTGAATTCCATGCTACTGCTACATGTACATCTTTTGTTCATAATATATGTCCATTACTGCCAGTACCTATTGAGTTATTTATTAGTACTTTGGAAATTTATTACAGAATATCATCATATCAATTACAAAATAACAATGAATTCTTGTTTCTTCCTAAACCATTAATGCAGTAATGGCTCGTTTGAGTATAAGTAGAACTGCCGAAAGAAGAAAAAGGAATGCGGCTGCTTTGTCTGTTTTCTTGGAGATGTATACTGCTGTTTGTGCTCTAGTGCTTTTAATGGCATCGGCAGCATCTCTCAATAGTTATAGGCCAAGCGTTAGGCGTTATTCTCTGGATAGTTTTTACAAACGAGAGTATGTTCGACGAATTTTGAATGATAACGAGTCACGCATTTCACTACTTAGGATGAATTTGCAAGCTTTTTCCAAACTATGTGAAATGCTAGAGAGTTTAGGAGGATTACAACCAACAAAGAACATGGATATTGATGAGCAAGTAGCAATCTTCTTGCTCATCATGTTAAAAATCGAGTCATTCAAAACAATTTTAAAAGGTCAGGTGAGAGTATCAGTCGGACGCTTCATAAAGTCTTAAATGCAGTAATGCGTTTGCAATGTCATCTTAAATGCAGTAATGCGTTTGCAAGGTCATTTGTTTAGAACACCCGAACCCGTTCCAACAAATTGTAGTGACAATCGATGGAAGTGGTTTAAGGTACATTGCCATCTTAAATACTTTTGAAGTATTATGTATATATTAGTTGTTTTTTTAAAAAAAAAAAAAAAAAAAAAAAAACTAAGGTTCATATTTCATGTAGAATTGTTTAGGTGCTTTAGATGGGACTTTTATCAAGGTTAATGTGCCAAGTTGTGATAAGCCTAGATATCGAACTCGTAAGGGCGACATTTATTATTGTTATTAAATTTATATTAATTAATTAAATTAAAATTCTTAATTATTAATAATAATATTATTAAATTTATAATTATAATTTTTAGAATGATAATAAATAAAAAAATAATTAAAATACAGAGATAAAATGGTGGGTCTACAAAAAGTTGTGAAAAACTTAAAATTAATAAGAAGAAGAGATTTTGTGATTGAATGAGATAGTGGATGATGAGTTGGATGTTGGGGCCCACAAAAATCTGGGGTAAAATCCTCAACTATTGAGGATGCCCTCAAACCCCAACCTTCTCTCTCATCTCTCCTCTCTCCTCCAACACATCAAGTTTTTCTTAAAATATGTGTAAAATCCCTCTAATGGGGATGCCCTAAGGGTGCGAATCGAAATTGGAATGTGAATTAAATATTTTGTAATGTGAGTTTTGGTGAAAGTATTTTTTTTTTGTTTGGGAGTATGGTGGAATTGGAATGATTATCAATATTAATGTTGGTTAAAAAATAAAGATAATAAAATAAGGGCATCATCAATAGTGGTAGGTTTTTGAGGAGATTATGCAAGAGAAATATGTGAAAAAAAAAAGGCAAAATAAAAAACAAAATAAAAAATTGAAAAAAAATCCTTAAAAACCCGCCAAAATCCCCTAAAATCTCCAAAATTTTGACAAAATCCCTTAAATAACCTTCTCTCTCATCTCCTCACTCCTCCAACACATCAATTTTTTCTTAAAATATGTGCAAAATTCCCCTAATGGGAATGCTCTAAGGGTGTGTTGGGAATCGAAATTGGAATGTGAATTAAATATTTGGTAAGAGCATCCTTATCAGTGGTGAGAATGTAAGAGTGATTGGAAAGAGAATGTGGAAGGGGGGAGAAAAAAAAAACTGATTTTTCTTTTTAAAAAAAAAAAAAGAATATTGCATCAGGTGCGCCCGTGTTCTTTTTATTTTTGATTACCAATATTAATGTTGGTTATGTATGACTTTTATTTTATTTATATAAGAAAGGGATACCCTATGTGCCGTGTTCTTTTTATTTTTGATTACCAATATTAATGTTGGTTATGTATGACTTTTATTTTATTTATAGGAAAGGGATACCCTATTACATTAATAGCACGTTTGGTTCACAAAACGAATTTTGAGGTAATAGGAATGCTATTCCATAAAGAATGGAATAGGCAAGAAATAGAATATGAATTCTATTCTATTGTTTGGTTCGCGAAAAGAATAGACTTTAGGAATTATATTACAGTGTTTGGTTGGTTTAAGGAATAGAATGAAATATGTTTCAAACGACATAAATACCCTTATAAAAATATGTGGTGGTGTTGGTGGTGGTGGCGGTGGCGGCGGCGACGGTGGTGGCGGTGGTAGCAGTGGCGACGGTGGTTGTGGTGGCAGTGGAAGTGATGGTGGCGGTGGTGGTATCAGGGCCGGCGGTGGTTGTGGTGGCGGTGGTGATGGTGGTGGTGGTGGTGGTGGTTGTGGCGGTGGTAGGGTATTTTCGATATTATAGTACTAAAGCTATTCCCAAATACTTGGGAATAGCTAATACCAGGGGGTCCCCTAGGAATGGCTATTCCCCCTGCAAAGGGAATAGCTCATTCCCGGGAACGCTATTCCCATGAATAAAATGACACTATTATAATGTAGTATCTATTCATAATTATGTTTTAAAAAGTTGTCAACCAAACATTTTCATTTCTAATCCTAGATTCCTAGTGTGTAAACCCATGAACCAAATACACCGTAAGATTTTCCAAAAAAAAAAAGAAAAAAAAAAGATAAATAAGATATCCTAAATCAGTAAATACAAATCTAATTCTTAGCCTTCCGTTCTCTGGCTCTCCAATTCACAGTCACAACCACGACGGTTCACCACTTCTCCCTGATCTGATCTCTCAAGATCACCGCCGCTGCGCCTCACACCGTCCGCCCTCTGCAGCACTCCAGTCGGCGGTCACTCCCTACTCCCTCTCGCCTCAGTCGACCTCACTTCATCGACTCAGCCGCGATCGTACGAGACTCAAGCACTCAGCGGCTCTGCGGAAGGACCTCACGCCTCCGCTTCACTGTATCAAATTCAAGGCTCAAGGTAAATTTTTATTTTTATTTTTATTTTACATATTAAAATTAAAATGGATTTCATACATTATATGCTGCTATTGCTGCGACTCTCTGGCTTTCCTTCATTAAATTTTTACATATTTCATACAAAATCCTATGAAAATTAACTTTGGAGTCTGGACAGTGTGTTATTGTTTTTGGAAATTTTAAAATTTTCTTCGTTAATATTTTGATTAAATTTTTGAGAAATAACCAAAGGGGTGTGTTTGAGAAAATTAATCCTGGAGTCTCAAGAATTGCACAGTAGAATTATTAATTATTAATTATTAATTGTGGAATAATTTGTTATCTTCCGGTTTTTAGGTAACCGACAGTCAGTTATAGCATTTACTTTGGTCTGTTATGACAGTAAAAAAAATTCCAATCGGTTTTTCGGTTGCTCACCCCAAGTTGTTCCTCACCGAGCTGTATAGCTGTGTAAATTGTAAAAGAATTAATATCATTATAATTTATCACTTAGTATATCTGGTTTCTCTATGTGTAATGTAATTACTAATTTGACTTGATTCTTGTCTCCAAACCATTTTTTGATAAATTTGAATAAGCTTCATTGCCTTTGGTTGTACATTTTGCTATGTGGTCTTTGGATAGTTTAAGGTGCTTATAGTTTCTTATGTATTAGGCATTTAAAAGGTTACAATGGATGCCACAATGAAGGAGTTCCAAGAAAAGTTAATTGAGGTTGAAATTGAAGGCGAGAACATTTTATTGGCACGGCAGCAGGTACTTTAAATGCCTGTGCACCTTTTTTTATTTTAATTATAAATAATACTCCGTAATAGTTCTAAGAGAATAAGTGAATTTCAATGATGTAATTGCAGTTAGTTGAAAATGATAGGGAAAGGAATGGAAACAGGGAAGCATTGACAGCATTAAGGAAGAGAGCAAAGACAACAAAATCCAGCGTTCCTTCACCTTTTGAGTCGATAATGAGGGAGATTGAGACGAAACCGTTGGTGAGAGAGGTTTGTTCAACTTGTGGCAACCATGACGTGAAGGAGACAACTTGGCTTATGCTTCCTGGAACTGATATTTTTGCTAGTGTTCCATTTCATGCTGTCCATACCATTCTTGAGCAAGGTTTCTTTCTTTGACCATACTGTTTAGTGTTTATGCTTCTTACTTGGTGAATGTTTAGTTTGAATAGACTAGGCAATGCGGGAGGGAGATGATGAATGGTGAAGGCTGTGAATCATGAAAAATTGACTGCTGAATTATACAACTGGATTTGTGCACTATGCATAATTTAACTTTAATGCCTGCCTGTGTCAAAGAAATTATTTGTACATTATTCTTTTATCTAGTGGTGACTTGAGCATGACTCATTTTAAAATTTCAAGTTATGCATGGCCATAAAGATATGAACCTTGTGCACACCTAGGATTTTGGCAGCATTTTGTATCGTTCTAGTAATTCAGTTATGTTTGAAAATTCTAGGCTCATGAAAGTTCGAAAGATGAAATGGTTCAACTAACACGAGTACTTTTGACTTTGAAGCAGATCAAACTCGACTGGATTATGAAGCTAAGAAACTTCAAAGCTATGTAAAGGAGAAGTCGTTTATCATATCTGAGAAAGGAGTTCTTGCTGACAGTATCAGCCCTGGCGTTCTTAGATCTATGGTCACCTTGTCTGATACACCAAAGAAAGCTAAGCCAACGGAATAACTCCTTCCTGCATTCAAACAACCAGTTCCCTTGCTTCACTCTCCATTATTCATAATTTTAGACCGAAGCAAATCTATAGCGATAGCAGTGTACCCGTGCTTATATAGAGGTATTGTGTGTCGCTTCTCTCCCATCTCCATTATGGATTTCTAGTTTAAAATTTGAATGTGAAAAGGGTGTGTTTAGTAATTGAGAATGCTTTTCATTTATCTCTAGAAAATTTGTTTTCTAGCAGTATTTTCATTCTTTTTATTTGGATAATAGTTTTCCATTTTTTCAGTTTAGGTATTTGAATAACTATTTTTTTTCCTAAATTTTAAACACAAAAATATGCATAACTTTTCATCTTCTACTTTATCTACTCCGTATTTATCTAGCCATACTACTCCTTAACTATTTACATCACTATAGCCCTTATATATTTAACATAATTCTTGCACCATATGTTAACTAAACCCGTGCAGGCTACGTGTGGCTAGAAACCATATATATTGGCATAATCACATTTATTACATGTCAATACAATATCAATTTTATTCTATTGTCTGATTTGTAAGAATCGTTATTTAGTTTTTTATTGATTATTGATTTAATGAATAAAAATGAAGTATTCAAAATATAAATATATCTTTTATATTGAATACTATATGTATGAGCATGTTAAAGATTTTTTTTTTTTTTTTTTTTTTTATTATTATGAAAAAGAGAAGTTACTCTTGAAACAATGGAATTTATATTTCCAGTAATTTTTTTTTCCTAAACCCTAACTTCTATTTGACGGTTTGGCCGAGGAAAATCGGAAGGAGGGGTGGGTAAATGGTTAGAATAAAAGTGGGTAAAATGTGGATCTGGACTTGTGTTGGTTTCTGAGGATTTTCATATATAAGCAAGTATGTTCACAGAAATTTTTTCATTGACAATGCACTAGTGCTATACTGCTATGTAGTTGGCCATAAGTCAGAAGAAATTGCCCTTAGGCATATTGCAAGTTTGCAATTGTTGTCTTGAATCTGAAATCAGTAAGTGCCATTATTGTTATGTGGTGAGAAGGGCCCAAAATATTTACCTAAGTTTGATGAATCCACAGTTTTCATTTTCATATGATAAATTGTGGATTCATAGTAAGCTAGCTTTTCTCCTTACAATCATTGTTTGTAAGTAGTTTACATTTTACATTTGAGCAGTTTTTTGTTTACTATGATGTTGATGGATACTGTGGTTGTCAAATTCTTGAACTTATGGAACTGAATAGATGCTATCATTTTGATCAAAAAAAAGAAAAGAAAAAGAAGAAGCTCTATTCATCAAGTTGGAGAAGAAAACACAAATGTTATCTGAACTGTAGAAGAAACAAGCAAACTAGGTGAAAAGAATCAACTACTTTCATAAAATTGTGTAAGGAGCAGGGCCAGGGGCAAGGAGCAGTACTCTATTTGTTTGCAAATGTTTCCATTTCAGCCAAAATCAAATGCCAATTGCAAATCCACAACCCATCAGCCATTCCGTAGCCTAATTATCTCAGAGAATGTGATATATAAACCCTAAGTTTTCAAGCCAAGGGTGTGATATGAATAAACCCTAAGTTTTCAAGCCAAGGGTGTGATATGAATAAACCCTAAGTTTTCAAGCCAAGGGTGTGATATGAATAAACCCTAAGTTTTCAAGCCAAGGGTGTGATATAGGTGTGAAGTTTTCAGCTTAGAAGGAGAAAGAGAAGTAGAGACGAATAGAGATTACCTTAGAGAATAGAGAAGACTGAGAGATCTGATTGGGAGGAGGAAATGAGAGAACTGCAAGAAATGCTCTAACCAGTAGCTTTTTGTAAATTGGCTGTTTGGGCAAATCAACCATCTCAAAAATCTATGTTACCAAACACTCAGATTGACTGATTGATAAAGTCAAATAGCCAATAATAGTCAAAACAGTCAATTTTGGCTGATAGGCTGTCATTTGTTACCAAGCAGCCCCATATGTATGAGCATGTTAAAGATTTTTGTTTTTTTTTATTATTATGAAAAAAAAAAAAAAAAAAGGTACTCTTGAAAACTTAGGAATAACTAATACCATGTGTCACTTTGGAATGGATATTCCAACTCAAAAGGAATAACTCATTCTAGGTGTTGAGCATGCTTTAATTTGGTATTAGAGTCGCGTCATCTCGATAAAAAAAAGAAAAAGAAAAAAAATAAAAAAGACTACGGTCCACGTGTTGTTTGGAGCCCACAAAAGTAATGGAGCATATAACCATTAATGTGTAATCTAATTACAAATTTAGATTTTTAGTTGAGATGGAGCACATGCTTCAATTTTGGGAATGCTATTTTTAAGAACAAAAAAATTAAAACAAAGAATAATGGATTTATGCTATTTTTAAGAACAAAAAAAATTAAAACAAAGAATAATGGATTTATTTTTTAAATTATTATTTTATTTTATTTTTAACCTATTTCTTAAACCATACTCTTGAGCACATTCCATTCTCAAGCAACATTGTAATTTTATAATTTTACTCTAAGTTGTGTTTTACGCGGAAGAAAATTATATTATTCTCTATTTGAATAACAAATTATAAACAATAAAATATATTAAAAATTACAATAATTTATTATAGGGAAAATAACATTTTTTTTTCACCCTGAGGTATATACTTATAGCACGTTTTCCCCTTGAATTATTCAAGTAGTAGTTTTTCTCCCTGATATGTTAAATGAACATATTTACCTTTAAAATAAATATTTCATTTTTTTCTTCAACAAATTATGACCACGATTTGGTTCAAATTGAGCATACACTATAGCAACCAAACCGAAATATTCCGATTACAATTTGATATCGAAACCCGATATTTAGAGTTTATTAAAATTGCGAACCGGAACGGTCGGGTCTATGTTCCTGAAAAAATAAAATACATTTATTGTTGAATTTAGACTATTTTAAAAATAAAAATAAAATAAAATAAAGTTTGAACCAGCAGTTAAACTGGATCCGGAACCGTGAACCGGCGATTCAAAATCAAAACTAAATCGCGGTCATATATACTTATATGTGAGAATCAGAATAAATGTAAAAAAGAACATACACTATTTATAAATATTATAATTCTAATTTTAAGCTAAAGCTACTAGTTGTTCCGATTCAAATCGCCGGTTCACGATTCTGGATCCAATTTTTTCGATTCATGATTTTAATAAACTGAAACCCAAATATTAAGTTCTGGATATGAATCATAACCGGAAATTTTCGATTCGATAGCTATAGTGTTTGGTTCAGTTCGAATCGAAACATGGTCATCCACAAGTATATGCAATAATTTGTTGGAGAAGAAAAATAAATAAAATGTTTACTTTAAGAGTAGAAATGTCAATTTAATATATTAGAGAGAAAAACCGCCACTTTTAGAATAATTGAGGGGACTAATATGATTACATGAATAATTCAGGAAAAAAAAGTGCTATAAACATATAATTCAGTGGGAAAAAGTATCATTTTCCCTTTATTATAAGGGTACTGTAATATCATATATTACAAAGCATCATTTTTTACCATTGTAACCCCAAAAGGAGTGATCAAGTGGATGAAGTATCATTCTTGTATCTAGAGTTTGATTTTTCCCAACACCTTTTGGCCAAGCCTGTTACACAAGGTCAAACCTCTAGGACTGTGCACCGGTCGGATACGGACGGATCAGATTTCCATCCGACGGATTTCAGATTTCACTTTGTTCCCCCGACCCTTAATTCTTTAAAGACATATCCTATCGGATTTTAAAGTTCGGAGTTCGGTTATCCAAAGTCGGATTTCGGTTTGTATTCGGATATTATTAAAGTAATTTAAAATAAGGGAAAATTACACTTTTTGTCCCTAAGTTATAGGTTAATTGTAGAATTCGTCACTGAGTGTTGGTCATGCTCACTTTTCGTCCGTAAGTTATCATTGAAGTTGCATTTCTCGTCCATAAGTTATAGAGTAATTGTAGAATTCGTCCCTGACTGTTGGTCATGCTCACTTTTCGTCCCTAAGTTATCATTGACCTTGCACTTTTCGTCCCTAAGTTATATTAAAATTGTAAATTTCGCTTACACTACTACATAAATGGTATACTTCGTCACTTAATAGACGCTGATTTTTTAAATAACCACCGTATATACCTTAATTAATTTTTTTACGTCATACACTTTAAATAACCACCGGTGATTTTTTTTTTTTACACATATACGACAATTTTCGAAGTGTCGCGCGTGTAAGTGATTGTCGTTGTAAATATACACTTTCTACGGCGGTTTTCAAAATCGCCGTGTATGTTAACTATATACGGTGGTTAAACAACCGGCGTGTATGTCAACTATATACGGCAGTTATTTAAGCAACTGTCATCTATTAAGTGACGTAGTATAACAAAATATATTAGACGGCGGTTATTTAAAAAATCGTCGTCTATTAAGTGACGTAGTATACCATTTATGTAATAGAGATTAAGGATAAAATTTGCAATTTTAGTATAACTCAAGGACGAATTGAAAAGTGTAACGTCAATGATAACTTAGGGACGGAAAGTGAGCATGACCAACACTTAGGAACGAATTTTACAATTATTCTATAAATTAGGGTTGAAAAGTGCAATTTTCTCTTAAAATAATTTTTAAAACAATTTTTTTTAGAAAAAAGTTAGTAATTCATCACGCATATGGAAAGTCCTAAAAATTAGGGCTCAGTTACAAATTAGGGTTCATGCAACATCATAGAATCAATACTTCTTTTCCCAAAAGGTTGAATCCTAAACCCCGGCCCGACAGAGCATTTGGGAGTATGTAAATCACGATGACTCAATGATTTAGCAGACAGGGCCAAATGTCGGTGCGCACAAGGAATCTTCCCACTTTGGATATATTTCCCACACTGCCGTCGCCAAGGTTCAAACCTTGGTCTCTTCTCGCAAATACTGCGCACTGGACCATTAAGCTAATCTCGTGCTGGCATTTTAGAATCAATACTAACAATACATCATGAAGTATGAACCCTAGTAGAATTGGAACAAGCTGAACAGACAAACAGGCAACACGAAAAAAAAAAAAAAGATTCAGATATACATTTTACTTGTTTTCTCAAATTTTCCCTCTAAGAACTAGGGTTTCAAGGCGTCAAGCTTCCACCGACGATTAGCATCTTTGCGAGGCTTCCACCAAAGTCCAGACGGACTATACCAATCGATCAAAGACCACAACGGTGTCGATCCCTGTCGAACTGTCTAAGGGGAGTTCGAGAGGGACGGGTTTTGCACAAAGACAATGAGAGAAATCGAGAAATTGAGAACTCAAACGTCTCAGTCTCTCAGACTTCATAGAATGAGAGGAATGAGAGATTGAGAGGAATCAAAGGAGTGGAGAAGTGAGAAGTGAGAAGTGAGAAGTGTGAGATAACTCAGAGTATCAGACGAAGGAGAGGAGAGGATGGAGAGTAACTCTAGCAAAGGAGCGCGCACACACAAACACATGCACACACAACTTCGGATTTTAGATGGATTTGGATAGGAAATATCCTAACCCTACTAGAAGAAATTAAATAGGTAAATCATCGTGGGGCGGTTCAGATCGACATCTCAGGTTCGGATATCTTTACCGTTAGGCAAATGCAAGTTCGGGTCGGACGGGTTCCTTGGGTGGGACAGGTTTTGCACATGCCTATTTACCTCTCTTATTTGGTTTGCAAGATATTATAAAGAAGTGGTGTTTTTCCATTGAATTGCGTACTCTAAGGTAATGATTGTGAATTTTTCTCATCACAAAAATAAAGTTAAAAAAAAAAAAAGAAAAAGAAAAGAAAAAATGGGTTATTCTCTGCTCTTATTTTATTTGTTATATTTACTATTCATTTGTCAAACCAATTATATGTTTTTTTTTAATAAATATCCAAAATGGTCCCTCGACTATAGCTAAATTCACAAATTGGTCATCGACTTTCAATTTCAACCAATTAAATCCTTAACTTTGCAATTTTGACACGATTTGGTCCTCCATCTATTTGACTGTTTGTTGACTGTGAATTTTGAGGATATATATGTAACTTCATGGTCCACCGTCTATTTTTTAAGGTTCCGGTTGCATTTCCAGACCGCACTGTTACATTTGAATCCACTGCCGAAAGAAATCTACCAAATCCGGTCGCCTTTCTTCATCCTCCCTTTGGATTCAATGCAGTTGAGTTTGTACAAGAGCGAAGAAGACGGCGTGTTTTCCGAACCAGTGCAACATCATCCTGGAGGCCTCCACGTGCTCCGACGAGAGCTGAAGGTTCTTCTGGAGATCATCGATCACGGTCAACAAACAGTCAAATTGATGGAGGACCAAATCGTGTCAAAATTGCAAAGTTAAGGACTTAATTGGTTGAAATTGAAAGTCGAGGACCAATTTGTGAATTTAGCTATAGTCAAGGGACCATTTTGGGTATTTACTCTTTTTTTCTTTCGATGTAATTTTTGGTATTTAATATTATTCTTAATATACTTTCTAAATAGATAAATTTTATGTACTAATAGTCTAATACTAAATTATTATTATAAAAAATTAAATTGTAAATAACTTTAATCAAACACAAAATGGGATAGAAAGAAAACTTAGGGTGTGTTTGTTTATAGGGTTAGACACAAGGAATGAGAATGAATGTCATATTCATTGTTTGGTTGACAACTTTTTAAAGCACATGTATAGGCTTTGATTACCCCTATAATTACAAAACTTGTCAGTCTTATCTTTCTTGATTTCATCGCCTCATTTTGTTGCCTCCTCACTCATCTTTCCTCACTTCATCGACTTCATCAATGCATTGCCTACTCATTTCATCGTCACACTTAAGATCAACTGCCTTGCTTTTTTACTTTTCTATTTTTAAAACCTTTATTTCGATTATAGACTTTATATATAACCAAATATCCATATTGGTAATTATTCTAATTTCACCCTACTACCAAACATGCACCCTTAGTAGACAATTAGGGGATACAAAAAGTGGCATCAGACATAATTGAAAGATAAAAAGTGTTATTTCTTTATAATTCATTGATGAAAAGTGTAATTTTTTATTAAAATATTTATTAATATTTGAAATTGATTTTGATTACTAGATTTTTTTTTTTTTTTTTGCATAATAAATTAATCATAATAAATGTAAATTAAATTATATAATTATAGTATTATTTATAATTTATAGGGAAAATGACACTTTTTCTTCTGAGTTGTTTACTTATAGCACATTTTTTTCCGTATTGTTTATGTAACCACTTCATCCCTCTCAATTGTTTTTAAAGTGACTATTTCTTCCCCTCTCCGTTAAATAAGTGTTAGGGCTGTTAAAAATGAAGATAAAAATGACATTTCATTAATGAATTATAAAGAAATAACACATTTTATCTTTCAATACATGTAAAACACAAAAAAAAAAAATTATTTAACCTTGATAGCGGAAGTATATGATTGATCGAGCATCTCCAGCCATACTTGTAATCTTCGTTGCATTACTTGAAGAACGGTAAAGAACTGAGTTTTGTCTTTCACTTAATCTCCTGAGAAACTAGATGGTGTAGTTGTGAGATTGTAATAGCAAGAGCAGTGGGAGGACCATGCTTAAATAGCTTACGTGTCATTATTATAGGCTATGTAACGGAAACCGTTAAATTGATTTCAAATCACAACATAATGACCATAAATGACATATTAACTTGCACCACTTAATAGTGACATAACGAAATAGAAAATATTACATTCCACCGTGATCCTAAATCAACCACTTACCATAAGATACCCTTCCTAGATCTCTTGGAGCCATCCGTGTTGAGTTTGGCTTTGCTTGGCATACACAACTTAAAACTTGGTAGCTACTAGCTTATTTTGAAACTATACTTAGGTAGTGTTTCAAAATAAATTATTACAATTTTAAATTACCTATATTTTACTAAACATAATTTGTGATTTAAAATAAGTTATAAGCTCTAAAATAAACTCTACGAAACAAATTATTTATAATATGGTTTTGGAGGAAGAGTCGAACATATCCACTTGTCGCCCACCTCCTTTGTCTGCCTAGTCGCAATCCATGCGCCACTTCTATCGGTGTTATGTTGTTCTATCGGTGTCCCTATACCCTATAATTATCATAAGCAGATTTAACTGAGAAAGAACCCATACTTGTATGGGGGATAGGATTGCACGACACACACCACCCTTTAAAGTTAGGGATGACAACGAGGCGGGAAGTATAATTCTTATCCTCATCCCTATGGCTCCAACCTTGTTCCCGTCTCCCAGGGAGAATTGAAAATATTTTTCATTCTTGGTCTTTGCGAGAAATTAAGTCAACCTATCACGGGTCAACTCTTAGTTAAAGTGTTAAATTAGTGTAATAATTTTTAATTAAAAAACTTGAATTTTAATTTCAAAAATTAAAATACTTAGAAAAACTAAAAAATTAAAAAAAAGCATTAGCCAAACACATGCAGGATTGTATAATATTATTATTCAATAATTTGTGTTGATCCTATGTTGTGATCGAAGTCAACGTTTCCTTTCCACAAGCCTAGCTAGCTTGCAAGCAATCAAAAATGGAGGATTCATTCTCCAAGACCTCCAAACAGCCCATTCTCCAAACCCAATCTTCTTCCAGGAATCGAGCAAAACTTCAACTCACATTCTCCCTACTCATTTTCTTCTCCCTCATTATCGCCTCCATAATCTGCGTTTTCAACGTCCTCAAGCACCACGCCCAATCTCAATCGCTATCCCACAACCCCGAAAACGCTATCCACTCGGTGTGTTCATTCACATCGGATCCCTACTTCTGCTACGACGTCGTTTACGTATCTTCGTCCACACCCGATGGCATCAACCCGACCCGCATCTTCTCTACTTCGCTCCTATCGTCGCTAGGCTACCTATCGGAGCTGGTGGATCTCCCCAAGTCCATGATCTCGGGTTTGGACCCGGAAACGCGGTTCGTTTTGAGGGAATGCGAGTTCATGTTCGTGTTCGCTCAGAGTCAACTCAACGAGTCAGTGGCGCGCCTGCACATGGGGGAGAATTCGGAATATGGGAAAATGCTGGGAGTGGATAAGCTGGTATGGGATTTGCAATCGTTTATCAGCGAGGCGCAAGGGCAGGTTAGTAAACTTTAGTTACATTTCGCTGTGAGCTTCTATACAGCAGATGGCCTTTTGGAACGATTTATCTTGTAAATGAGAAAACTAGAAATATTAAAGCTATTCATTATTAGACTAAATTAATATGTTAATGACCATGTTTGGTAAATGACGGTTAACTGTGAGCTGATTGGATTAATTATAGAGTATGGTCCTATTTGGTAAATGACTGTTAACTGATAGCTGTTAGGTGTTAGTTGATTGTGTTAATTAGAAGGTATAACTTGTTGATAACATTAACTTATTGTAGAAAAGTGTTTGGTAAATTAGCTATAACTTCTTTTCTCAAAAAGTTAATTGAAAAGTTGTTTGGAGTAACTTTTTGAATTTTAGCATTTTGGAGTTGTAAAAAGCTAATTAACCAAACATTTGTATTGATATTTTAACTAAATCAAACAATTAATAGTGGTCAAATAAGCCAAAATTAGTCTATAGGTCAATTTTTTACCAAATAGGGCCTATAACTAGTTGATAACATTAGCTGATTGTAAAAAATTATTTGGTAAATTAATTGTTAGCTGATAGCTGTTTGTATAATTTCTTTTCTCAAAAAACTAATTGAAAAAGTGGTTTTGAGTAACTTTTTGAATTTTAGCATTTTGAAGTTACAAAAAACTAATTAACCAAAACACTTATATTGATTTTGTAACAAAGTCAATAGCTAATAGTAGTCAAATAAGCCAAAATTGACTTACATACTAACTATTTTACCAAACAGGGCCAATATGTCTCACAATAATGCAATTAGACTACTGAATCTAAAAATTACTTTTTGAAATTATAACAAGTCACCTCAAATTTAAAATATCTTTTAAAAATAATTATCTAAAAATATTTATTTAAAATACTAAAAGTGAAATATCATTATAGTTAAAGTCTGAGAAGTAAAGCCATTTTTAAAGTTCAATACTAAAATTGAAAATAAAAATAAAAATTGAGTTTATAAATAGAAACATCATATTATAGTTAAGAGGTATAAATTAAAATTACTTTTGGGCTAACTTTTTATTTATTTAAATTGTATTATTCTTTTATTTATCCACAAATAAACATAAAGTCCATTTAAATATAAATTAATGAGCATAAGTATTTAATATGAATATGTACGAGATATATGCAACTTTTGTAAAGGTGTGGAACTTTTCAGGTCAAGAGGTGTACTAAGTGGCTGGAGTCAACCAAATCACCGATGGACCCGAGAATAGAAGTAAACACAGAGATGGCTGAGAGGGTAATGACGATTTGTCAAGAGATGTTGGCTAATAGGAAGGACATTCTTGATTTGTTTTATCCGAGGATAAGTTCCGTTGTGGGTTCTCTTGTGTTGAATAGTGAATACGATTTTAGTGTTTTCCTGTTTTGCTCTCAGTACTTGGTTTTGGTCTTCCTCTGCTGCTTGTTGTTTCGTTTGATATTAAGATAGGGCGTTTGGTTGAAAAGAAGGAATTAGGGAGGAAATGAGGGTATTGCAATTCTTTCTAATCAAACATTGTAATTCATTAATTCGAGTGGTCAAAGAATTATGGTGTAATTGAATTGCAACTACATCCAACCAAACAGCCATGAGGTGTTTGGACCAGAAACTTGTGATTTATGTTGTTGGAAATATTAGAAACAACCTAATAATAGAGATCGGGAGTCCATGAGCTCATTGCTCGGGACCCAAGATGATAACTCGGGTGGCCCAAGAAGAGTCCAAAACCCGGAGCCCATCTTCGAATTCGGAATGATAAGTCTTGACTTAGTCTTGTAATCCACTGCATGGACCTTGACTTAGTCTTGTGGGCTACATTGTTTTTAGGAGTATTGTTGGCCCCTACTTTGTATAAATATTGCATTGTTTTAGTGTCACAAATTATGTCCAATTCCACTACAAAAACATCTTTAATTTTGTAGTATCTCTTCATCAATCAAGGACATACTATTATCACAATATTTATTTTCCGTAGTATTTACCCTTTATATCCACGCATACTCTGATCTAGGTCAATTTGTTCCATCATATTTCTTTTTTGTTTTTGTTTTTGTTATAGTAATATAAAAAGTGTATTGTCGAGCAAATAATCAAATGTAGTTTTTTTTTTAAAAAAAAAAAAAATAATCAAATGTAGTTAAATAATTAACTTTACAACTAAATATAACTGTAAACACACCAAAAAAATTTATAGTTTACAGATTCAACTCAGTATAATATATCTAAATAATTTACTCAGGAGCAGATCCAGAAATCTTCACCTGTGAAGATGACAGATTAAAAACCAATGAGATACAAACATAACGGTCCGTCCTTCTTGGACAATGCCTTCGGGGTTGACATTCACATTCGATATATTGCTCTTACTGACATATATTCCACACTTTAAAAATGAGGCTGCTTCATGGTCGATGGATACATTCTCCTGCAAGGACTATTAATCTCCTCACGGCAACATTCATGTAATGCAAAAGATTGCATCTGCAATTATTATCTTGCTAGCTTAATGCTTAGCTTGTTTATAAATTGCATACTATATATCACTGTTGCAAAAATCGCGTCCTAGGCGGTCCCCAGGCGCCTAGCGATTTTTTCAACATTGCTATATATTCAAATAGATCGATCACTTACTGTAAGATATATTAAATATAATATATATATTATATATAATATATCTATGTATTTATATATAATATATATATTATATTTAATATATCTTACATTTGGTATCAGAGCCAGTCAATTCAACCTTTCAACCCCGAAATATTTCGCGTAGTGAAATATGGCAACAAATTTCAATATTGTATGGTCGGGTCCCAAATTGGACGGGAAACTTGATTACAATTATTGGCAAATTATGATGTCCACACATTTGCAAGCTCAAAATCTTTGGAGCTTTGTTGATCCCGGTCTACCCGAAGGAGCTGATGCAGCCGCTATACGGCGAGATAAATTGGCCTTGGGTCAGATTCACCAAGGTGTTCATTATTCCATTTTTGGGCAATTAGCTCGTGCTCAAACAACAAAACAAGCTTGGGACATCTTAAAGGTGTCACACAAAGGAATCGATCGGGCACAGAAGTCTAAGTTGCAGTCGTTGAGAAGGTTGTATGATAATTGTGAGATGACCTCTACAGAAACAGTAGATGCGTATTTCACTCGTCTTATTGATATGGTGAATAAGATGAGGCTATATGGAGATACGATTGAAGATGGTGCAGTGGTTGAAAAAGTTCTTCGAACTATGCCGATGAAGTATGACCATGTGGTGGCTTCGATCACAGAGTCACACAAAACCGAGCTCTTATCAATTGCAGAGCTGAAAGGTATGGTAGAAAGTCATATTGACAGGATTGCGTCAAAATCAGAACCACTAGCAGAAGAAGCTTTGAAGAGTCAAGTCACCTTTAATGTGACTGGCACTAATCAAAGAGGTGGAGGATCTGGTAGAGGTCATGGAAGAGGAAGAGGAGGTTCTAGTGGAAGAGGTCGTGGTAACTTCAACCAAGGAGGAGGACGTGGTAACTCCAACCAAGGAAGAGGTGGAGGTAATACCAAACAAGGTAAATTTCCATTTCATTGCTACAATTGTGGCAAGTATGGGCACAAGATTACAGATTGTTGGTATAATGAGGACAACAATCGTGGAAATCAAGCAAACATTGCTGAAAATACTGCTGAAAAGTCTGGTGAGAATTCTGAAACCTTACTTTTGGCCAGTGATAGTTTTTTTGCAGATAAAAACATATGGTTCTTGGATACTGGGTGTAGTAACCATATGTGTGGTAAGAAAGAATTGTTTTCTGAACTGGATGAATCAATCCGGTCTGAAGTGACATTTGGCAATAAGTCAAAGGTGCCAATTTTGGGAAAAGGTAAAATCTCTATTCAGTTGAAGGATGGTACTCAAAATTTTATATCCGATGTGTTCTATGTTCCTGAACTAGACCAAAATTTGTTGAGTATGGGTCAGCTGTCAGAAAAAGGATATAAGATACATATTGCTCAGGGGTGTTGTACCATTGAAGATGCTAAAGGAGTTTTGATTGCAAAGGTAAATATGTCCCAAAATCGACTATTTCCTTTGAAAATTAAGCATACTCTCCTTGATTGCTTTAATTCTGAAGTTTGTGATGATAATTGGTTATGGCATATGCGGTTTGGGCATTTTCATTTCTCTGGGTTAAACTATCTTGCGAGAAAGGAACTTGTTTCTGATTTACCTGTTGTGAATGTCTCTGATCGTATATGTGAGATTTGTGTGATTGGGAAGAAGCATAGAGATCCCTTTCCCGTGGGCAAGTCAAGGAGAGCTACAAAACAGTTGGAGATTGTTCACTCAGACCTGTGTTCGTTGGAGGTTCCCTCACATGGAGGTTGTAAGTACTTTATTACTTTCATTGATGATTTCAGTAGAAAAACATGGGTTTACTTTCTGAAGCAAAAGTCTGAAGCATGTGGTGTTTTCAAACAATTTAAGGCTTTTGTTGAAAAGCAAAGTGGTTATGAAATTAAAATCTTGAGAACTGATAGAGGTACAGAATATATTGCCTGTGATGATTTTCTGAAGAAGAAGGGTATTCAACATCAGATGACAGCTAGATACACTCCACAACAAAACAGAGTGGCTGAGAGGAAGAATAGGTCTATCATGGATATGGTAAGGTGCATGTTGAAATCCAAGAATCTGCCTAAGCCTTTTTGAGCAGAAGCAGTTGCTTGTGCTGTCTATGTGTTGAATAGGTGTCCAACTAAAAGTGTCAGTGATAAGACACCTGAAGAAACATGGAGTGGGAGAAAACCCTCTATCAAATATCTCAAGGTTTTTGGATGTTTGGCTTATGCACATGTGCCAGATCCATTGAGAAAGAAGTTGGATGATAAAGGTGAGAAATGCATATTCATTGGTTATAGTGACGCTTCAAAGGCTTATAAACTATACAATCCTGAAACTAAGAAGGTTGTTATAAGTCGTGATGTCACTTTTGATGAATATGGTGCCTGGGATTGGTTAGCTAAAGATGAAAGTTCAGTTGTTATTCCTGTTGTTGAAAATATTGTTGATGAGCAACCGATTCCAGATCATGTCCAGTCTCCTTCACAGCCAGAATCGTCAGTTCGACGATCTCAGCACGAGCGCCACTTACCAGCTCGCTTGCAAGATTATGTTTTGGGTCATGATAATGACCTGTCTGATGAAGAGATTATTCAATTTGCTCTCTTTGCAGATTGTGATCCTTTAACTTTTGAGGAGGCTGCTACAGAAACTCATTGGCTTAAGGCGATGGATGAGGAGATACATGCCATTGAAAAGAATGGTACCTGGGAGTTAACAGATTTACCACCTGGGAAGAAGCCAATTGGAGTAAAGTGGGTTTACAAAACGAAATACAAGTCAGTATATCCAACTTGAAGACGGAGGGACATTTTTCAAATTGAAGAAGGAAATTGGAATGACCAATACATCCAACTTGGTTTAAAGGAGGCAATGTTATAATAATATTATTATTAATATTATTAGTAATTAAACCAAGTCAAAGAATTTAATAAAAACAAACATGGGTGAGTCATGTATGTTAATGTAGAACATGCCTAGATTATAGGAGTAGTACATGGAGCATTAGCTTCCTATTTATTAGCTTTCTCTTAGTATAAATATGTGGTGTATTTTCATCTGTTAAATTATCCCAGTAAATAAACATTATTCATTCTAATCTTCCTCTCTCTCTTCCTATTTATATATTATTATATATAAATACATAGATATATTATATATAATATATAATATATATTATATTCAATATATCTTACACTTACTCAATAATAAACTTGATTTCTTTAATAATAATTGCGATGGACAAATACAATATCCTTATTTGGGGTAAAAACACACAGTATGTACTAGGTAGTATAATGGCGAATAACTCGATATGTTAATACAAGGTGTACGCCTGTACGGGTTTTTTGTAAGAGAAAAGAACGTGTTTTTAATTTGACTAAATAAAGTAAAAAAAAATAAAAAATTAATACTAGTTAGCTAGGTCCAATGACATTGGGCAATGACTGAGCGAGTGACGTGCGCCTTGCGTGGTTGGGTGCACTTTTTAATGACAATGTTGACCGTGCAACTATCGCAAATTATGTTGTGCAACTGTGTGTACCATGTATGGTGCACACGGTTGCAAAAATAACGTCGTTTTGACTTAAAACGCGCGTCCCACTTAAAAATAAATAAAATTAAGTTTGATTCTCGACAATAACATTTTTTTTTTTACATAATTTGAATTATATATCCACAAGTTCATAACTATATATCCACAAATTCATAACTATATATCCACAGTGAATGAATAACACAAAATCCAGAATGAATGAACTAAATATCCATAATGAATGAACTAAACATCCACAATGAATGAACTAAATATTCACAATGAATCTATCTAACT